AGCATTAACACGTTCTTACGCACAGTAGAATTGTAAATGGGCTGATTTAACAATGTCATGCTCGTACTGTGCCGAAACAACATAGGAGAAACTGCTGACCTTTCTTTCCTTGTAAAGTTGGTAGAAAAATGCAAGGATACAATACCAGTGAAGAAACCTAGGAGGGATACAGGGATACAGTATCCAGGAAGAAACTGAGAGGATACAGTATCAAGGCATAAAGCTGAATTTTGTATAATACAGAGCTGACTCTCACCCCCCCCCCCTCACGAGGTTCGAACTCTCCTTCAGCGTGCTAGGAACAGATTTTAAAGCACAGACCGTTTAGTTTTAGTAAGTGTTTTACGGCACTTGCAACACAATAAGTTTATATACGTGCCGAAGATTAAAGGTGTTACAAGAGAGAAACACAAAAAAGGAGGAGAGATGAGGACGATAGTATGATGTTTGATAGGAAAGAAGAAGCAAAATCACATCAGAGCACCCGCCAACCACCCACAAGCCCAGACAGATAGATAACACAGGTGCTAGGGAACACCCAAGGACCAGTGACGTAAGAGAGAAGAGGCGGTGATGATACCGGTAACCGTTTGAGTCACGTGATCAACATGCTATCTCTGTCTGATAATGAGAAGTGGTTGACCGTAGTAGACGCCATCGCAAACGTTCAGGGAAGACCACAGAATTCTACACTAAGTGTAGAATTCTGTGGGGAAGACAAAACTAAATGATTTAACCCTTTAGAATTTGGGCCACATCGTTTTCAACGACTGTATCTCTTTTAAATTTATTTATTTATTTATTTATTTATTTGGTAAATGGTTTACAAACGCTCGCACTGCACAAGGTCATATGAGCGCATGGGACACATAAAATATTTTCGGTAGGTGGGAAATTAAGAATTTTGTCCGAGTGGCGGCCGAAGCCTACTCATATCGATTTTAGACCTCCAAGAGATCTTTAACGTGCGCAACTTACACACGGGACTTCGGGGATTTTTCGTCCTTTTCCGAGAAGGCTAGACCTAGGTATATATCTTTCCTACCAGAAGATCATGGGTGTGGCAGATAGACAGCAGTTAGGAGGAGCCAAGGAGTAGCAGTAGAAAGGCTGCAGAAAGAGTCAGGAGCCCAGAGGAGGGGGCAAAGGAGGTGACGGGGTGGGGGCAGAAAGTGGAAATGAAAGCAGACAACATATAGAGAGCAGGAAAGGAGGTGAAAGGAGACAATTTTAGAAAAGAAATGTTTTCGGTCGCTACCCGGATTCGAACCCGGGACCTTTGAATGAGAGGCCAACACCTTAACCTCTAGGCCACGAGAGCCCCCCTAAAATCTGAGAAGAAACTCATTTTGTCGGGGCACTTCACAAATGTTTTTCCTGCTCTATCAAAATCGTACGATTGTTTGGAGCGGTTATCAAGGCATTCAATGAATTACATTGTTCTATCAGTATCTCGAAAGATCTTTTGCAATGCTCTATCTGCTAGAAAAGAATTGAACGCGCTTATCTGCTTAGATAAACAACACGCTACCTCAGGATTACACAGTTCTATCTGACATTTTTGGTTGTTCTTTTAGTTCCTAAGACCATGGGATAGGGGGGGGGGGGCTTTCGTGGCCTAGAGGTTAAGGTGTTGGCCTCTCATTCAAAAGTCCCGGTTCGAATCCGGGTAGCGACCGAAAAGTTTTCTTCTCTAAATTTGTCTCCTTTCACCCCCTTTACTGCTCTCTAGCAATGTTCTGTCGTCTGTTTCCGTCTCCACTTTCTGCCCCCATCCCTTCACCCCCTTTGCCCCTTCCTCTGGGCTCCTGATTCTTTCTGCAGCCTTTCTACTGCTACTCCTTGGCTCCCCCTTACTGCTGTCTTTCTGCCACACCCCCG